ACTTGTGAATTTAAATTTGAATGAATCATACTCAATATTTATTTTTTCTTTAAAATAGTTACATCTGGCATTAATATTAATTTTGCGTAATTTTCTAAACTTTACAGTTTTAATAAAAATGGAGATAAATAATGCAAAGTGTCAGTGATTAATTAATGAATAATCTCATTGGCGAAAGTGAATATTCGTCATGCGGGTAACTGTACGACGTGCAGTCGAAGTCGAAAGAACGTTAGTCAAGCCATTAATTTGTCGCGGCGAAGTTACGATCGCGGAACTTCCTCGACGGGCTTACATTGCGAGAAACTTACGGTGCTACTTGCTACGGCGAATGTATAATCGCCGATTACCCTAACAAGTACGTGGTGGTGCATTGAGGCGACTAATTAAGCGATTATAGCATCCTGGGCGAGCTAACGAGTGTTAATCCACAGGCGAGTCGTGCCTGTGGGAGCTCAGAGGGTCAACTTGCTGCACGCCTAGCCGAGCACGACGACGAGTTTTCTCTCTTATCAATATGCTTGTAGAAAATCCCATATCGCGCGCGCTGAAGATATTACACTTCTCTTCGATCATGTAATCGTGTACATACAATACGTAATTTCGCTCTCCTCTTGTTTCCGAGAAACGTTTCATATAACTTAGCTTTTACGGGATAGTATAACTAACGGTTTCATAGACACGTAAAGGAGAAAGAAAAAAATATACAGGCAAGAAAGGAAAGATTATTTCAATCCTTTTCGCACCTTTGCAGCTTTCTCTTCAATATTTGCCGATAATAAGAACCAACATTAAATTATATTAGAAAACGTGTGAAATGTGTATTGTTAAAAAAATATATGTCGTCTTTCTCGATGGAATCGTTTTCTGGAATTGTTTCTTGATGGAATCGTTTTCTGTCCTATATATCCTTGAACTTTATCGTTAATTTTATCGTTCGAATCCGGATTCGAATCCCGGCTGAGGCAATATTTTCCGCAATAAATTGTTCGCTGATTTAAGATTCTTATTAACATCAGATTATTAATATTTTTTATAGAAATGCTTATTAGCATTAAAAATTAAATTGTTTGTTAATTTAATTTGTGATATTACTACTCTGGTTCTGTTTATGATAGTGTTTCAAGACCGTAAAAGATTTCGACGCGCGATTTGCAATAATCAGATATATAAGTATATAATTTTACACAGAGAAATATTTAAGCACTAAGATCAGCTTCGACTAAAAAATAAGATTTCCCTTTTTTAATTAGATTTATTCTTATCTGTCTATTTCAAATTGTAATTATTTATCATTGAATTAATTTCTGTAATTTAATAAGAATAAGTGTATATATATATATTTTTTTTATCTGTAAAAGTAAATAAAGTTTCAGGATGTTTATAAACCAATTCATAAAGAAAATATATTGAAACGCTTCGTATAATTTCAAGTAATCTTCAGCATAAGCATAACCGAAAATTATTATTTTCAGAGAATTACTTGATAATTCATTAAATCAACTAATTAAATACTTAGCTGTCTATTGGGTACATCGAGTATCAATCTGCAATTAAATCGCGAGTGTATTACAGACCGACAATTCCGACCAATCCGCAATATCCGTTGCAGCAAAATCGAGGATGATAATTCATGAAGTGAATTACGCATTGCGGCCAGGCGTTGTTCGTCTCGCGATCGGTGCATCGACGTTTTCATTTTAATAGAAATTGATTGGCGAAGAGCCGCGAGAACAAGTAGGAAGTTAAGGAGATGAAAGAGAGAGGCAGAGTATAGAAGGGGCGGAAGGGGGGAGGCAAATGCGGCCATGTAATTAGAAATCACGGGGATTTACGGGGCATCGTGCAATAAATCCAAAAAGTAACGGCTAATGGCACGCATATTGACGTATCCATCTGGCTATCGTTCATCTTTCTCACGAGTCCCACACCATGCGCACGCCCCGTATACGCGACGCGCGCCTCGCGGCTACTCCGCGCGAGCGGCTCGCTCTCGCTCGCGCGGAGAAGACGAGACGAAAGAATCGACGCCTCCAGAGTGAACTACGGGGCTTTCTTCTCGCGAGAGGAGGGAGAGGAGACGTCGCGCCGACCATAAGCACGCTTGATTTACGTTAAAAGCCGAGCTGGGTCCGCGTTGAGTCTTTATCGGGTAGGAGTGAGACGATGATGACGGACGATCGGCGATTTGTAGAGGCGATCGGCGAATGCGCGCATATGCGAAACGGATATATGTATGCGCCCGAGCGAATCTGCTGATCATCTGCAACCCGTGGCCGATATTCCGAGTGCACAAAACGTAGCTTTGAGAAGATCGCTTTATGTCGGTAAAAAAATGGCAATCACACAATCGTCTTTCAGATCAGTTCGTTACGTGTGGTATACAATCGTATCAATTATTATTCTTTGATAACGCCTTTAGATGTTATAACTATAAATTTTCGTTATTTATCACATTGGAAATGAAAAATTCCAAATTTTTATTAAAAAATTGAAGTTAATTTAAGATTATCTAAAAAGATAGATTATGTAATAAAAATTAAGATTAACAAAAAAATTAATAGAGATATTTTATTATTTCTTCAGATTTTAAAATTACAGCTCTCTAATTTTCGGCATTAAATAAATAATATTTATTGAAAGACAAATTATTTTATCAGTTGAACTACCATATCGTTCTGTGTACTATCGAATTCTGTCCCATTAATGTCACCATCTATAACAGTAGTGCTGAATATGTTGCACTGCGAGGCGGTAATTCTCCAGCGAGCAGGCAGTCCGGATTAACGTCTTCATTCCGAGAGAAACCCCTCGCTTGCGCATGGTGCACCGGTAATCGATCGGTTATGGTAATTCGAGCGAACGTCGAGTGCGATCGTTAAAAAAGCTGCGCGCCCACTGTTGGTGGTTGCGGTACTCGATGCAGCCACTACGTACTAGCGGCGATAAGTGGCCGCGATGCGTGCAGTTCGATTAACGCAACAACGAGTGCGTGAGCGGTCGTTCGTCGTGCATGAAAAGGGAGAAACCCGCCCACGCGATCTACTTGCGATAGCGGAGGCGATAGGCCGATTCGAGAAATCTATTTTGACGTATTTGTAGAACGATCGACACTTTATCCGTTAGCGTTATAGCTGGACTGTAATCTGTATCATTGTGGTACTTAAATTATTAAAACGTCAGAAATGAATCTCTGCTGTTACACATATTGTGAAGTACTGTTTATGTACAAGTTTAATGTAGCTACGTATCGTTTTTTATCGATGGTTTATTTCTTCTAATATTAATAATACAGTGCAAATGTTGCTTTATCATGATGTATTATAACGTAGTAGTACGTATATGATAGAGTTTTATATAATCTTGTACAACACATTTGTTACAAATAACATAAAGTAAATATACCATACCTGAAATATGTTATTGATACACATTAGAAATCGGTCTTTGAGTATATATTGGCAAATCATGTCGTTATGATTAATTTATCATATCTCAAGAACTGTTTGTAATTATAGGATAGAATATCGTAGAATGATTGAACGATAAATAATAATAATGATAATGAAAGTCACTATGAAAGCTAAAACTAATCTTTAGTTTCACTCATTTGAATTAGCTGATAACTGTAAATTAAACTTTAGACAAGATATTGAGCAATTAATTAGAGTTTCTTATACAGAGAAAAAATAAAAGATTTAAAGTTCAGTTTTTAATATATTTTAAAGCTAAGATCAGCGTGGCTGTTTGCCAGTCATTGCACATTTTTATCGCATTATTGCATAATCAATTAAATAATACCTGTTATTATACGCGGATACCTTTAAAAGTGCTTAAAAATAAATACTATGTGTGTACCTATAAAGCAGATCGAAGCCTTTATCGCGTAATCGTATGTTTCATAAAACTCTACACTTCAATAGGGGAACTTACATTGTATATTTAATTCTTTCAGCTTGTATTTATAATGCAATTTACTTATATTTAAATGCTGTATCTATTAATATAAAAAGGCTTGAAAAATCTTATATTGCATTCAATTTACAAAAATATGAATTTAATTTTTTATACTGTTTCAAATTTTATGAATGTGTGAATTTATAGCAAAGAAGTAGAAAAATATTTAATACACAGATTCTATATTATTTTTTTAAATTATGTAGAGCAGTCGTATTGCTAATCTCTGAATATTTTATTCTTCTGCATAGTAAAATGTATTTCTAATTATAAACTTCTTTCTATCGATTTCTTCAAATATATTTTTATTTACTACTTGTAGGCAATAAATGCGAAGTCAATTATTAATTAACATTCATTATGTTCATCTGTACAACTTTTTTTTATATTATTACGTTCTCAAACACAGATCATCTTTAAGCAATGCTTAAAGGCGTCGGCTTTATTTAATGATCAGTAGTATATAGTTGGGTTACGACCCCGACATCACGATCCGCAATAACACGGATGAAAACGAACTGTTACTCGGCATTATCTATTATGATCACGGAATTGTTTGTAATGTCACTGCTGGTACATTTCACCCCGTAGCTAAGAGACCTTATTCAAAGATGACCTACTCTCCCGAGGTAGATACAACTAAAAGGATGTCATTTAATAATTTATGCCGGATAGGAAGATTGCAATCGACAATCGCTCATCGTAAATCGAATCATGCTCTGTAATCAGCCATGCTCGCCAACATTTTCTGCACCGTTGAGACAATTCATGTTGCGCCATCGTATGTATCTGCTACAATATAAACATGCGAAGAAATAACACGCTATATGCACAGAAAAATTATCTTTTAAAGATTTGCAGCTCTTTAGGATCATCTTTTTTTAGGTGGAAAAATTCAATATTATAATACAATTATGTAAATTTGATGTTACGTGTGCAGTTTTAAAATATTTTTATATAGACAAATTGCTATTCAACTTCCATAATAAATTTCAAATAAGATGATAAATACTGACGAAAATTGTTCTGATTGTTTGTTGCAGGATACTCGGATATCGCCGGGAGGCCGGTTATCGAATTCGAGGACAATGTATCCACGAGGGAAACTCTTTCCGTTAGAGAGACGTCGTCTTTTCTACTCTACCTCGCTCGTCTACCCAGGTACGTATCCATCGTATAATGCATTACTTTGGCGCACGTCGAGATCAGACCATACGCAGTTGCGGGGTACCAATAAATCAATCGGGATTATCGCGAGATCAGTCGCGCGTGCGGGGCCCGCTGAACCATACCATAATTTATGAATTCGATTAGCGGGCGACGCGGCCGCGATAATTTTTACGAAGGGCGTTTTTAACTCGCAAGAAAATTCACACTTTACGGCCGCGGCATACTGGTGCGAGACACCCATTTATTACGCCGGCATCTGTACTCCTCAACGCGGCTGTTGTAGCCGATAATAACTGAAATCATCCGACTCCGAATTGGCAATTTATTAATCCCGGCTGGGCGAGAAGGAAGGAGCGCGTGAGCTTTCCGTTAAATAAACGTGATCGACGCCGATGTCGGTAATAATTATAATTTTCCACCGTCATGAAGTCGCGGGCACGCCCACTATAATCGTCGATACGGAACAGAGTCGCGGCTTGCCGTTCTTTCCAGCTTGACCGCATCGCGTCCTACAAGCTCTCTAACGAAGCTTCTCTAGTTTGTAAGCTATTCAATTAACACGCTTACGACGTGCCTACCGACAGAACGCTTTCTAATATCGGTGCAACGGCGATTAAACACCGTGAGAACCGAATCGGAGCAAATAGATACCTATTCGATTACGAAAATGATTTTTCGCTGAACATCTAATATTCAACGAGATCGTTGTCAATTCATTAATTATTAGTTATTAATTAATTGAAACATTAATACCTAAATTTAGTTAATTAATGAATATATATGTGAGATACGTGCGCAAGAGAAAATATATTATCTATTTGAGGCATTTAATTGAACTTTATTTCAATATGAAAATCACAAAGGATTGAAAAAAAATTATTGAAAAGATTTTATGCCTTTTTTCTGGAAAAAAAATAGTTTCTACATTTATATCATTTATAACTACACTGAATATTTTGTTAGACCATTGAATTATGCAGGCACTTAAACTGATTGCTAGAATGTTAAAATTTTTGCAGCATCGCTCTCATCATGCTCTTTCCTACATAATAATTTTGATAGTCCAGCAAAATTATTTTTAGATTTATATCTAGCTAAATTTTTAAATACTTGAACAAAATCGTCTTTCCTGCGTATCATTTTACTTCAGAGATATACATTCTTTTCATTGCGCATTGGCTTTCAATGCATTTGCGTCTTTCGTTGTTCGTGATAATCGCGCCGTCATTCCGCGATTCTGCGACTGCATTCGCATACTCTCCAGCTCATAAAACACATTACGCATGATAGCCGCGCTGGTATCGGTCATCACGCGGCTTTATGATTTTCCGTGCAACCGGTAACGCCGAACTCTCATGTGTGCTTCGTCGGGAAGCGTACGAGCGGGAGAATAATATCGAGACGGCAGTGGAAAGAACGGAACGGAATACGAAGAGCTAGAAAAGCGCACGCTATTACGCTCGGGGCGTCTCTCGGCAAGAAACACGCCGATCTATCTTTCGGCATCTTCGACGCGAGCGAGCCAGCGTCCGTCGTTTCCGCGTCGGCGACTCTTCCCCGCCGGCCTGGGAAAAAGTGGCGGAAAATTTTCGCGATTTCATCGACGCTGTCTTTCGCCGCGTCATGTCGGTATACCGCCTTTCATCGGGTATCCCGGCGCGAAGTTTAATTCACACAGCTGATCGGCCGTCCCCGTGGGCTTTTCAGATCGCGATATATCTCGATATGCGAGGATAATTAAAGGGGTCTTTCTGGAAAAGCGTTGCGAGATCGCGCTGCCGCTTTCAAACTTCACGAGAATTAATATGAATTTATGAGGAAAGATCGCCGTAACGAGACATATCCTGGCTTGACTGACGATTTCCCGTGTCGATACCGCAAAGCAAAAAGAAAACGCGTTTGCGATACCAAAACTCGCGTAAACGACCTATCGCTCGTGTTCCCAGGACTATCCAGGCCGAAGCGATACTTCTAATTTATCGCGGCCGAGTTATCATCTCGCGTGGCCACAATACGCATTGTTACATGTCGATATCTTTCGTTGCCGGAAGAAAAGCAGGCAGGCACGGGAGCGTGCATTTGCCGCTTGCATACGCGAGCTAATCTCGAGAGGGGCGCCGTAGAATCCGCGACGAAAGCCGACGGTGTCATAATGATCCTCTGAGCGGAACACGATCGCCATAAATCAGCGTGCCGGTTATATACCACGCGGTGTACGGTGCGCGGGATTCATTAGCATTTTTCCGTGGTCGTAGTGGGAAAGCGAGGAACGACGTTGACATAGCGCCTAGCTGGGCTATCGGTGGCAGATTACTCGCGGATAAGCACGGCGGATGCAGATTTATTACGCTACCGAGCAAAACGACGAAACGTCTGGGAACTTGGCGTGAAACTGACCCCGGAATTTCCACGTGCACGTAAACGCATACGCAACTTTACGCTTACCGCGTTATCAGCGTGCTGTGTAATATCTTGACTTGACCAGATACGGCGCGGCGCTCTTTCATCTCATCGCGTAATCTACGAAAAATCGTTTAATCGGATGGATAACGCGTGATTGATGGATAATCGGGAATATGCAACTATTTCAAAATTAGCCGTAGATCTATACTGCGATTCGGGTGTTGGCTGTCGGAATTATATTTACATGTACAAATTTGTGGGATTTCGATACCGGCAAAGTTAAGAAACGTTACTTAAAAATATTTACCTCTCTAAATGCTTTGGAATGAAATTTGAACTAGAGTCTTGAAAAAGAGGCTCAATTTTCAATCTTTAAGAATGAGATTTCACGCTTCAGAGTGAGGTTTACTCTAAAAATTTTAGAGAGTATGGTTGCCACCTCTTCTGACGGAGATCTCACTATCTTGCTGGAGATCGATTATTAAAATTATTATTGTCTTATAATGCGTTCTCTAAAAGGTCATCAAATCTTTTTCATCAGTCGAAGAGCTAAAGATTTATTCAAAAAACTGGAGTCTCCGGCTGAAAACCAGAAAGGGGTGGTGACAATTGTGATGTTTACTCCTAATAATTAATTGATTATTAACATTTGTCTCAAGATAGAAAATTTTCATTTGCATGTTGTTTCCTAGATCCGGCGAAACCTGTCTTGCACGTAGATCAGTAAAATATTAACTGCGCTCTGTGATCACGCCTTAGTTTCACGCGAATTGAAGGTGAAATGGCGAAAGCGTAGTGTGTACCCCGTTATCGCGCATTAAGTGCACTCATCGTGTATGTCCGCAGGTATCGAACGAAGTTTATTGGCTAATTGAAATTCGCTGATAGAAATACGGTGGGTGGCTTGTCGGTTAATCGACCGCGCGTTTCTGTTTTGATTGTACTTCCTGGATTTGCATTTATATTTGCATATATTTGCATAGCTGGTATTATGAGTAAATCTTGCCTATGCTTCGCACAGAACGTATCATTTCATAAGCTTTGATCTTCTTGGTTTCCGAGAGATATCTTGTTTACCGGAGTGCCTGCAATAACGGCTCTTGTTGAGAAAGATATTAACCGTGCAATATATTTTTACTGTTTGCAATCTGGGTCTTTTTTGTCTAAATTTTTTTTACTGTTCAAGGCTTTCAGAAAATGTGGAAAAATTCAGGGATTATTTTTCAATATTTCTCTATTATATTACCGAATAGTTTTTTAAAAAATTTAAATTTGTTAAAAAACCTTTAATCTGACATTTGACAAAAATTGAAAAAGAAAGAGAGTGAAATTTTGCTTGTGCCAAAAAATATCAAGATTGCAGTTGATAGATGAAAGGTTAAAATTTTTACAAGTAACAATTTATTGTTTAATTTAATTTAATTTAGTTATTTAATTTTTTTTAATTCTTTGAATGTATTCTCGAAATAATTGATAAAATTGCAGCATCATGTATCTTTGCACGTGCTAAGTGAATTTTAAACTGTTATCGAACAATGTCAAAAGAAGATGATCAATTGGTGTTTATTATAAGAGATAAGTTGATGGCAAACGATAAAATCTGCGATCTTTAGAATCTACACGTGTAACGGGTCCATGCAACTTTCTTAATTCGAGATTGTCATAGTGTGAAGTAACAAGTCATGTTTCACCGCAGTGGCTTTTGCAGTGGCCGTCTTGAAAGCTTATATCTCACACGGGAGAAATATATTAAGCGTCAAGCGAGACTCCCGCGGTTTGCGTTACGCGTAATAACTTGATTGGTCGCGGTGAAAGGTCGAATCACCAAAAGTAATTCGCGAATGCATCGCCGGGCGAAATTGACCTCGACTCGTCTTTCACCGTTAACTCGCATCGCCGGTTTGTCCGGCGATGAATCGGAGCTTTGATCGTTATATTAAGGAGGAGGGTGAGAAATTGACTGACGGATACCCGCGCGAAAATGTATGCCGTGTAAGTGCATTCGTGACGATGCGTCTTATTAACGCAATTTTATTTGTTCGTAAACTTGTAATACTAATTATACGTGTCGAAATAAAAAAAAAGTATCTAGACAATTTTTCCTCTTTCCTTCTCGAAAAACGCATGTAATTGAGATAATCCGACAAAGACAAGAAACTCATTTCTCACTCCTCGTTTCTCACCTCTTTACTGTCGAAATAAGATGCACTTAAATTATCCAAACAAAAATCTGATTATAAATACAGGGTGTTTCAAAAGAGAAGGACAATTGCTCGAGAGATAATTAGAATTAAAAAACGAGAAAAAAGATTATATGAACATGATAGGTCCGGAAATGCTTCACTGAAAAAAATGTCTGGTTGGATTAATTGGAATTTTGGTTGAAAATGAACGAATCAATTTTTTAGAATTTTATTTGAGGTAATCGGAATTCTGATTAATATAATCAGAATTTTCTGATTCGTCCATTTTCAATCAAATATTTTTCTTGTCAGTATTGTTTTCAAATTATTGCCATTTTTATGTTAAAAATTGAAATTGCTTTGCTTTTGAACTTTATCAGGATTGAAAAAAGAGATGGCTTTTAT